TTTTTTTTTTTTTCGCATTATTCATTTGTTTCTGTAGATACCTTGGGAGAATAAGCTTCTGTCAGTTGCTGGACATACAAAGGATCCCTCTGAAACTATACAGGGTTAGAATTATTATTGTTTTAGTCATATTGTGTCATCTAATGATTTTAAAGCTTCTGGGGTTTCTTGTCTTTAACTTTTACATAATGAATGTGAATTGTCATTTTTATACATTCTGAAATAGAAATGTGTGTTGCATATTATGTGTTGCTTTTAGATACAAGCATAAGGATATCAATGCACCAATTATTCCGATCACATTGTTCCTGTCATCATAAGATATTAGTCAGGATGAAGCTTTACATTCGAGAAAAGTCCTATTTTCTATATAAAATTGGTCAACTTGTTATGCAATTCACCGGGTGCTATGTGAACAGTGCTTTATAGATGTGTTGTATTAAGTGGCAAACTGGGAGTATGGCACCCTTCGCTTGTAGTGATCTGTACTCACAGAAGTACTATTTCAACGAGGCTTCTTATTATTGCAATTATTTTTGTATAATTTGAACAGTAGTCTTTGATGCAATTTTTCTTACATTGTTATGCTTCTCATAAAAGTGAGTCAAATCTTTCCCCCTACGTTGCCTAGTCATTTACCTTTCTCTGATGCTTTATTATTTTTCTCCCTGCTTTTTCATGACAGTGAAGGCATTTGATCTACAGACAAGCAGTTGGTCGGCCTTAAAGACGTATGGGAAACCACCGGTATACTTTCCTTAACCGCTTCTGTCTTTGTGCACAAGTGCATGTGACACGTACTGTATACTCTTCTGTGAACCAGAATGCATCTGCGATACAAAATCTAAGAAATTATTCACTGTAGTTTTGTATTTAATTAGACGTTCTTTGTTAGGATTGATTTAGCCATGATATGGTTTGAAAAAGCTGCATAATGCAAACTTATGTGCAGAAAATTTCTAAAATCACATACTCCCATTGATGCTTGACAGGTATCACGTGGAGGTCAATCAGTCACCCTCGTTGGAACTAGCTTGGTAATTTTTGGAGGACAAGATGCAAAGAGAACTCTCTTAAATGATCTGCATATTCTTGACTTAGAAACAATGACCTGGGATGAGATTGATGCTGTGTAAGATCATTTCCAATAGTTTCAGGATGAACTCTTTTCTTTTTTGTTATTCCTTTTTTGATTGCATTTTCTGTTGCTCAAATTTAATTAAGTTTTATTTGGCTGAGCAGCCATACGAAGTAGGAACATAATTCCTTGGTTGCAAAATGTTACTGTGCTTTAGTCTTAGTTTGTTCCTTCCTCGTGGTTGTATTCTTCAATAAGAAAAATATTTATTAATTAAATAAGCAAGGCAGAGGAGAGAAAGGAGTCCTCTGAAGCAAAACGCAGACATAAATGGGAGCGGACGCCTTTATTTCTTTTTCTATTTTTTAACACTTTTACTTCAAGTTTTCTTTTACAACAAATGTATGATAGTTGTTTAACAATTGCGGTGTAATCATTTTTGTGCAATTTATGTTTTTGATGTTATAGGGGCGTTCCTCCTTCCCCAAGGTCTGATCATGCCGCTGCAGTTCATGCTGAGCGCTACCTCCTTATCTTTGGTGGAGGTTCCCATGCAACTTGCTTCAATGATCTGCATGTCCTTGATTTGCAAGCTGTAAGATGATTACTCTATTCTAGTCTTCTTTTCTTATTAAGATTTTACTCTCTTCTGTTTGCCACTTTTCTTTTTCAAACAAAACTTAATTTGTCAATATATTTTTGACTGCGTAGATGGAATGGTCAAGACCCACGCAACAGGGTGACATTCCAACTCCTAGGGCTGGACATGCGGGTGTGACCGTTGGGGAGAATTGGTTCATTGTTGGAGGTGGTGACAATAAAAGTGGTATGTGTAGATATTTGAAATACATTGATTCAATGCAGAGCTTTTGATGCAGACTCCCTAGTTCTAGATTGTTACCTTCTAGGAGGGATAGAACACTTATCAGAGATTTGGGATCTCTTTCTCTACCTGTCTCTGTGTGTGAGGAGGGCTAAAACTCCTCTGACAGTCAGCATCGAAGTCAATTAGGAAATGAAAAGACTAATATTTCTGATCGGCTACTCATCTCTTCCTGTTGATTCATTGCAGGAGTCTCCGAAACTGTTGTTCTTAACATGTCTACGCTCGTGTGGTCAGTAGTAACTACTGTTCAAGGGCGTGTACCTATTGCTAGTGAGGTATTTTACTTTGAAGAACTTCTGCAGTCTACCAGAATTTCTGCAATTAATGTTCACTAAGTATGCATTTCGTTGCAATTCAAACGGACAAAACGTAGTGAGAGATTCAAATTAGTTATGTGATTGTGTCCTTTTCAGGGCTTGAGTGTGGTCGTAGGCTCTTACAATGGTGAAGATATACTTGTATCTTTTGGAGGATATAATGGACGTTACAGCAATGAGGTGAGAATAGAATTTATATAGATTTGTAGCTTTTAGTATGTTGTTTCTTAATCTTATTTTCTTTTCCCCGCCCTTTCTGTTTTTCCCCCTGTTTTGTTTAGGTTAATGTTCTGAAACCAAGTCACAAGTCAACCTTACAATCAAAGATGATAGAAACTCCTGTGCCTGAGAGTGTTTCTGCTGTGCAAAATGCTACAAACGCTACTAGAGATTTGGAATCTGAGTTGGAAGCTGGCCAAGATGGAAAGACAAGGGAAATTGTGGACAATGGGGACTCAGACCCCACGGCTTGTACCATTGATAATTTTGGTCTTTCATTGTAGTCCTTTTGAAATATGCTTACAAAATATCTGCTATCTGCAATATTTGATGGAGTGTCTTGCTTTGTTTTATGTATGTATGTATGAATAAAATGAATAAACACTTGTATTTGTTTGTTTATAATTTGGATTCGTTGTTTTATGTATTTGTTTTATTTATCTTAACATTCTTGGTAGACATTTGACGAGGTAAAACCATCTCTAGCGAGATGACAACCTACTTTCTTTACTATCTGTCGGATCAATTACAATAACAAGTCACACTCGTATTCTGGAAATACAGAAACAGAGATTTTAATGGTCATGCATGTTGAGTGCGCTAGTTCAGTCTTTAAGGAATATGATAAAAATTGGCAAATTGCTTATGTATACCTTTGAAATTGTTTTTGTACAACTTAAAACTGTCCGTGTTCAGTTAAAATCTTGGATCTTATGCTACTTGATTTTCATGTTTCTTGCTCTCCTACCCTATTGGACACACGGGTTAATAGTTTGCACTCTTAACATTTAATTCTATGCAGAGATCCAAAGGTGAGAAAAGCAGCGAGCATGTTTTAGCATCCCTCAGGGCTGAGAAAGAAGAATTGGAATCATCACTGAACAAGGAGAAAATGCAGTCGTTGCAACTAAAGCAGGACTTGGCGGAAGCTGAGACTCGTAACACTGACCTGTACAAGGTACCTTGATATCAGCCGTCTTTTCAAGAAGGAATGGATCATGGAAGTGTTTCCTTCTTTTCTTCTCTGATGATTCCTTCTAATATATACATGGTTTTTCATCGTAGGAGCTTCAATCTGTCCGTGGTCAGTTAGCAGCTGAGCAATCGAGATGTTTCAAACTTGAGGTATCAACTCATTTTGATGATTTTTCCCATAAATAACTGTCCAAGCATATATTTCTTTATTCAATAAACTTGAAGAGTTTTATCGTCATGATTGATTTCATCAGTTGTGTGAATAATTATTTTTGTGTCATCACTTGGATTCTCTTACCGGCAATTGCCTTCACATAAAAATGCTCACCTCATAGTGGGGGATCTAACACAAAATATGTTTAAAGTAGCTCATGATCAATTCCATGGGTGAAGATGCTATAAAGGGATTAATTGAAGGCCTATAAGCTGGCTATTCACTTAGAGAGGTAACTAAATTTTGCAAAGTGATGATGGAAGGGATTAATTGAAGGCCTATAAGCTGGCTATTCACTTAGAGAGGTAACTAAATTTTTCAAAGTGATGATGGATGTCGTGTCATTTAAATGGTTAGAAACCAGTACTTTGGTCAATTTGCTAGGAGCTGATAGGTACGTCAAACATTTGCATTTTTCATGCAATATAACAACGAAAAGCACAACACAAGAAAAAGACGAATCCTCTGCTAATTACTTTTGAAACCCGCAGGTTAAACTTGCAGAGCTTCGACAGAAACTCCAAACAATGGAGACTTTACAGAAGGAGCTTGAACTTCTCCAGCGACAAAAGGCAGCATCCGAACAAGCAGCTCTGAGTGCCAAACAGAGGCAGGGTTCCAGTGGCGTGTGGGGTTGGCTTGCAGGAACACCTCCTGACCGACAAGAGGACGATGCCTGAAAGTATTAACCTAAAGGAATAGCGGTTGCTAGATATGGCTCTCATTTATCCATTTTTTTACCAAATATTTTTGTATACTTAACAAAGTTCTTTTTGCTGGATAGAATAAGATGAGGTTCTTATTGGTGAGACGGGCAACCATTTTGGGTTTCTACTTTTTGGCATGAATACATTTACTGTAATGTAGTCTTTATTTGTTAGTGAGATGTTTTTCTTTGATTTGTCACCAAAATATATTTGAGGTTGTATCCAAGATGAATATATCGAGTGAGAGTAGATATTATTGGTTGTAAATGCATTCACGGCTACAATTTAAAGCATTATTAATCCTTCCTTTATTTTGCTTTTCCTGTAGCCTTTTTTTTTTTTTTTTTTTTTTTTTTTTTTTTTTTTTTTTATTTTTTTTTTTTTTTTTTTTTTTTTTTTTTTTTTTTTTTTTCTGAATGTCTATCTGTTTCGCCGTTAAGGCATTATTGTTAAATTAGTTTTGTAATTGCCGTAATATAATAAGCCACCCTCAATTTTTCCTTTTTTAAATATATTCCAACTTAGATCAAAATGACTTTATATCCACCTTCAATTTTTGTAAGCCTGTTTCGCATACTTAAGCCGTTTTATGCAGCAGAAGAAAGAAAATGAAAACATTATGGCTGTCTTTTAGAATAGCATTTTTTTTAAACGTGAAAATTTAATTCAATAATTAAGTTGATGTAGATTCTAATATTTTAAAGGGAGAAGTGCAAAACAACCCTTTTAAAATGTCAATTTTGAGGAGCTCATTATTGAAAGCTTTGACTTTTTATGGAAGGTCTTCTAAAATACTCGAGTAAATAGATTATGGATCTATTTTTGTGCTGCATGATCTAGAAAACTATTCCAAATAAGCCATATGTCTATATCTATATGTCAATATATGTGTGTATGCTAATACATAACAATAGTTATATTCAAGATATGTAGAAAATAATTTCAAAAGAAGCTTGTGCTCTCTTTTTTATTCTTTGAATTGGTTTGCATTTTGAAAGTTTGTTAAATGTATCTGATACTCTTCATCAATCATCATGTAACTTCTTTCCAGAGGATGTACAATTCTAGAACAGGTTCTTAGATTGAGATCTTATCTTTTCAATCCGAGTAAGGTGCAAATATGGATATATAACTAACTACTAACAAAGGTTTTAAATAAGTCGGCCTTAATTTTTATCCTAACTCGTGACTTGTCATTTTTTCAAATAATCAATAACTTAAAGAATACAAATTCAAGCCCCTTGATGATATCGCCATCATTAAAAAAATCAAAAACAAAAGCAGAAATAATAAAAAAAAGCAGTCGATAGAGCCCATTATCATTCCCAACTTTTGTAAATTCCCCATCTTTCTTACCAATATTATTCTCTTAGTATATGCAAAGACGATTAATTTGTTTAAGGGAAATTTTCATTTAAACAAAGAAACAAATAATACAAGACAATGTTAATGACTCATTAGAAGAACGTATGTACACTTGAAGTCTAAGAATTCCAAAACAAGACGCCGTCAGAATTTCACTGGAAAAGTCGAATCCACTGCATCTAGGCACCCTCCTACGGAGCTAGGGGTCCAGAGCACCACCCAAAGGTGATACCGGACTTCTACCCTTTGAAACCTACAACAAAGGTGACACAAAGCTGAGAAGGAAAAAAGAAAACCTTAGGGACGATTAGTTTTTAAATATTAATAAATCGTGTATTTAGTATGTAAAAGTTGATAACTATCTGGTAACAATTCACAAATTTTGTATTTACAATTTAAATACTGATAATTCTTGACAAATTATGCATTTGTTAAGTAAATGTGGATAAATATTCGGTGAATCAACTCATTACTAAGCTTATTAAAAATATTATTTGTTAAATCTTAAAGAAAGCAAGAAAAAAAAAATTAATTGCTTATTCAAGAAGTAAAATTATGTTCGGCTCATAAATTTAGAAAATTGAACGTTAGACCTTAATATAAACATCCTAGGCACCCCAAATCAGAAAAGGGAGAAAGAGGGAAATATCCAAAGTTATGAGGAAACTTGGGGGATTTGCTATGATATTAAATTACTAAAAGTAATGACAGAAACTTGGGAAAAGATGAAAAAAATAGAGAAAAGGAAAAGAACACAAAATCAAACAAGAGTAAAAATTAGAATAACACAGATAAAAATTTCAATAACGCTGTTTTCTACCAGTTGCTTAAATAAATATGGTATTTACTTTTAAAAATATATTATTCCCAATAATTTCTATATTAAAATAGAAATAATCTTCTCTCTTAATTGTTTTGACCAATTCTCGTGCATCTAACGGCGAGCATTGATCCTTTGCAAGCTCTCGAATCACTGTTGCGAAGCCCTAATCAAAATGGCAGACTAGCTTGCTACCAAGCTCATCAGAGCGATGAGCCAATGGCGCCTATGGCTGTTAGGGAAGGAGGAGATTGCTAAAATTAATTGGTCTCAACATAGTTTAAACAAGATCAAAACAATAATTTAATCATAAATTTGAAAATACCATAAAACTTATTTGGGGTTTAGGCATACATTTTTATGGGAAAAAGATTTACCTCCTCCGATAGGCAGCATAAAAGTGTCGCCTACAGTCGCCTGAAAACGCCAATAGCCTGCCGGAATTAATGAGAAGCTTCAAAACAAGAAAGAGTGGCAAGAGGTTCACTTGAACTCCTCTCTCTCTCCCTCTATTCAAAACTGTTAGACCCCCGTGTTAGAAATTAATGGGTTCTCAATACTCATAAATGAGATCAAAACATTAAACCAAAAAATACATTATCAAATTGGATTTTGAAGCATATAGAAAATCTAATGGTTTTAGGATTACCTCCTCCACTCGGTGGCAGAATAATATCGTTTTGGTGGCCGGAATCAGTTCAAGAAGGCTGAGAAAATCATGAGAGCTTGGAGGAGTTTTGAACTCTTCTCTCCTCAACCTTTCTCCACTCCCACGGGCACACACATACACGGCAGGGAAAAAATTTTTCCCCTCTGGTTTTGTGCTGCAACCTTAGCCAATTGGGCCTTGTTGAGCCTCAACCAAAATGATTGATAGAGAGAAAATTTAGTCCAATTACCTGACCAAATATTTAGAGAAAGAGAGTTTATATGCCTCAAGTGAATTAATAATATGAGTTTTTATCTCATTATGGACTAATATTAACATATATGTATTAATTAATTCACATTAACACAGTTGTTCATAAGATGCTTTAAATAATTACAGAGTGGATTATTATGATTATAGAAGTCCACATAAAAATATTCCAACAGTCTCCCATTTGGACGACATAATCATACAACAAACATTCACTCATCACAGTATAAACATCAACTAAGAATCTCACATAATAAATACAAGGCCAAAACAATCATGCACAATAACGTATCGACATGATACAATTATTATACATAATCTGGAGCTAGAGATTCATCAAAGCATGACGACAACTTTAATATATGGATAAAAAACAATTATAGAGACTAACAACTAGATGTCTCTTTTCAACTCGTCACTTTGCCAACTAAAAAGTGTGTCAACACAACATCACATATAAAATGACAGATTCATGAATATGCATGTATTATTTGAGGCATAAGCAATCCTTATAAATAACATGTCACACAAAAATAACAGTAAACTCCCGCTAACTCAATACAACTATAAGCTCCTTACAGTCCCGAGTGGGATGCATTTCTTAAAACACCTAATAGGTAAGCCTTTAGTGTAATTGCCAACATGTTGTTTATAGGCGTGTTTTCAATAACAATGAGGCATTTTATAATTTCTCTTTATGAAAATAGAACACACCATCATTATGCTTGAGCGAACAATGCTCATAAGAGAAATGTACTATTATGAAACTTTTACAACACAGTTTCAACCAGTCCAAAAATATAGTGAACTACTGCTAGTGCTAAAATAAGGTTCCACAATTACATCACACAAATAGCCTCACGATACGCCAC